GTTGTTGTTGTTGTTGTTGTTGTTGTTGTTGTTGTTGTTGGAGTTGTTGTTGTTGTTGTTGAAGCATCGGTATTCGTGTTCCCTACAAAATTTGCTAAACAATAAAATTTTTTTTTTAATAAAATATTGTTATATTATTCAAATTGTCACAAAAATAGTTTTTACCGTAAAGTTTTTTTGATATGTAAATTTTCAGCAAGAATGTAAAAATACGTAGAAATAATAATATTGATTAGTTTCTCGATGAACTAAAATTATATTTTGTAATGGTTAAAAAAAAAAAAAGACATTTCATTAGCCTTATTTATGCTTCTATTTTTACCTTCTTCTTTCTAACCTGGAAAATAAAAAAGAAATGATGAAAACGAAGATGTTACACGTATTATTATACCTGATAAGGATTACGTGGTTCACCAGCGTCAACACGTTGTCGTTGTCGTTTCAGTTTGATACGTTGTTGAGGTGATGTACTGTTGTTATTGCTATTATTATAGCTACTGTTGTTATTGTTGTAGCTATTAATAGCGGTAATGGTCGATGATGGTTGATGATATTGCTGTTGAAATGGATGATAGTGATGATAATAAAGATAATGTTGTTGTTGTTGTTCTTTTTGCCGCTGCTGTTGCTGCAGTTGTTGTTGTTGTTGTTGTTGTTGTTGTTGTTGTTGTTGTGTTAATTGGGTAAAGAGTGGAAAAGTGGTATATTGATGATGAGTGATAAATGATGATGATGATGAGGATGATGATGATGACCTGTTTAATGCTTGAGGTAGTGTTTCCCCCGAGGACATCAACCGATTTGTTTCTTGTCGTTGTTGTGGTTTCTTAAAGGAATAATAGTATTTCACACTTAGCTTGATTAGTCTAATAATTCGTTTTCACAACCTTCCACTTCCTAGAAAAAAACAAATAACAGAATTAAGAAGATAAAATTGATTTTAATGATTTTGAATTAAGTAAACATAGGCGAACTTGTACTCAATTATATCATTATTAATTAATACAAAGTTAAAATTTTTTAATATATGCTTGTTTTTTTTTTTATTGCATGTTTGTTTATTATTAGTTTGCTTATTTATTTCCTTTTTTTTCTGATTTTTTTCTTTTTTTTTTTTTTGTTTTGTCATTTTAAGTAATTTATTC